CTTCTGAGAGTCATAAGGCAACTTTATCAGTAAAGAGGAGGCTGGCATGTGAACAAGTGATCTATTTCAGTCAGGTCTGTAAATGTCAGTATACATATAAAAAAACTCTAGAACTGCTTGGTTTCTCACTAAGTAGCATCTTTCTACAATAACTACCAGGCTTATCAATGCTTGTCCGGATGTGATCTCAATCACAAAAATGGAAAAAAGCAACTCTGGTTCATTAAATGGAAATTCCTCGAAGCAAAGGTGGTGCAACTAATCTAAGCTCTTGTTAGAAATTAGGGATTCTGCATTTTGTAGAATTTTTCTCTCTGATATGAGTTACTATCCGTGACATCTTCAGGCTGCAGCTTACTACTACCATGGTCTAGTCCTTGACAAGGGTAATGAACCATCGTGTCATGTGAGTGCCGTGTGTTGTTTTCTAGCGGCGGAGGAGCTTTTAGCAGAGGGCAAGAAAGCCTGCCTAAGCTTCTGCCTAGTACCACCTGTGACCCGGTTGGCTTCAACCTAGTTTTCTATTCTCTCTTGAAAACACTTTTCTCATCCATTTTCTCTAATTTTTATTTTCTTGTTCTAACAATTCTTACTTCGGTGGCAAGGGCTCCTCCTCACTGGGGTGCCATGAAGCAATTACACCAGAAGATTCCAGAAGTTGCATTGAAGAAGTCACAGATGTATGGTTACCTATTAGAACAAGAGAAGTAAGGCTGTTTATCTGACCCTTTAGCTTTACTGACCAAAAGATGAAAGTCATAGAGATTTCTAAAAAAGATTATTTATGTTCATGATAAACAGCGCTCTTCAAATATTGCCTGACCTACCGGATTTCCAGCTGTCACTAAGACCAGATGACTGCGAATTGCCTGAAATTGATCCGGCATGGAATAGAGAAAAGTGGGAAAACCAGAGCCAAATGCTGAAAATGCACCTCAATGACAGTGAAGAGGAGGTTGATACCGAGTGACATAATCTCTTTTTGCTATCTGCAGTTAGATGCCTAATCTATTTTACTAAACTTTGTTACATTCCTATACAAGCTAAGCTAATATAGTAGTAATAGAAGACAACATCAACAAGCTTGACTTGGTTTGCCTTGTACTTTCTACTGTCTATGAATGACACTTTGATAAGATACAGTTAAAAATATAGTCTATCATTGAATGCAGTAGGTATTGTTGCTTGTGTAAAATAATTGATTGTAATAAATTTTTCTCCAAAAACTTACAAGCTAATGGGAAATGATCAAATGTATACTTTATTTTCTACCATATGCACCCTCATGCACAATCCCTCTAGGCTATATCAAGTACAGGTTCTCCCTATTATGCAGAAAAATTAACTAACAGAAATGAAACCACAGGAAAAAATTTAAATGCTAAATCTAATAAATAGTCATTTGTTATGTCAATAGTTTAAGCGAATAGAAAATGATTAAATGATTAAATTTATTATTTATATTCTAACAATTCCTATTACGGTTTACTTGAGGTTCTTTTCTTCTGTTTTTGTGTTGGTTAAGCAAATGTCCAAGAAAGCAAACAGAACCAACTTAAGGGTTAAGCTATCTACCAATGGTGTTGCTACACTAATAAGTTTCACTAATAGCTAGAAAGACAAAAAAACAGCGTAAGTTCAACTCGAACAACAGGTTTTATGCCATGGATACAGGGAGCCAAATCGATAATTGGAAGCTTGAAATCCTAGTATGAATAGCATAAAATGATATATAAGTAATCTCCTTTCTCTTACAAGATCTAACTTAAGAAGAAAGCAAGCCAATAAGCATAAAATGATCTCCATTTCTGATATGCCATGGGAGGAACTTGATGTTGATAATCAAAAGTTCAAAAATCGTAGCATATATAGCATAAAGTAATATATTAATTATCTGCGTTCTCTTACAAGATCTAACTTAAGACGAAAGAAAACAAGTAGAATCCTGCATTTCTACAAGGGGAAATTACTATCTTAAATTTGAACCTACCACACCCCCCCCCCACAGAGAAAAATATATTCAAGAGCAAAGCCTATGTTAGGTGGTAAATCCCTTTGGCCTTTACTCATCCACCTCTAACATTTCTGCAACTTGGTCCCTCAGTCAGTAGATTTAGCCATAAGTTTGGTAACAGCCATAATTGTGAGAGACAAGTAGGAAAAGAAAGTCAAGTAAGAAAACACAAGAGATAATAACATTTGATCGCAAAACTTGTTCACATGATCACAAACAGCCATCCAGCCAATCTTCTCTTCCCCATATTTGCTCACGTAACCAACTGCACTTGCAGCAACACACCCGGACATCATCAACAGCATCATCACCTGCAACAAACAATTTCTTCCCCGATTAACCAATTATTCCAAAACTTTAACATTATCAAAAAGTGACAAGTTTATTATTTGTAATCCAACTTAGAACCTCACATCAAAGGGAGATAATTAATGTTTGACAAGGGAAAGGGAATCCAAAGTAATCCACCAAGTAGAAATTAAAGATAGGAAATAAAAACAAGTGATGGGTCAATCAACCTTGCAAGGATATAAATTTTTTAATGAAGATGGAGGCAAAAATTTTGCAATTATTATTTTCTTTAGTTCAAAACGAAACTGGACCACAAAAAGAGATGACTTCCCAACTGCGAGTATATTAACCATAAGGGTCTGAAAATGAATCCTGTAATTCTGGATCTTGACATGATGCTCGAGCTGTTGGTGATAAATTCAAGCTTACATATTGCTGGCATCTTAAATTTATCCGATTCTAATCCATTTTAATATAGAAAAAATAAATGTGTTTGTATACAGATGTGTAACGTATACATGTATATATATATATATGTATGTATGTATGTATGTAGGCGGATAAGTATATGCGTACCAAATCATGCAAAAAGAGAAGAAAATAACTGGTCCTGTGATGTGAGTTTAAGTGTCTTAGAAGGCAAACCGAGATCAATGAGAGTATAGAGAAGCAACAAACTGCAACATCTGCACCCAGCAAGAACCTGTAACAAAACCCATAAATGGCATATAAATCATATACATATATGCATATGCGAATACATACATATTAATATAGAAAAGAATGAGATTTGGAATGGGTCCGTACAAAGAAACAGATAAACCCAGAAAGACCAGCAACAGAATCAATAAATGATTACAATGGAAGCAAAACAAGGCCCATATGCGTAATCAGATAAATTAAGCATATATACACACGCGAGTATATGTACATATTGTATATAAAAATAAGGAGATTTCTTAAACCGGTTCACCGACAGAGGAAAACCCAGAAACAATTTCAAAGAAAAGAAAACAGGGGCTCGCGTGCGTGTGTAAATAAACATACAGAGAAATGTGTGCGCGTATATAAATATTTATGTGTGTGTATATATATATATATATATATATATATAAAAGAAGCGACTCTGATTTTAAATGGTTAAATAGAAAAAGAAAAACCCAGTCCGGAAAAGGTACCTGAGGGAAGAAGAGTAGCTGTAACGAGCAGTAAACCTAAACCCAAACAAAGTAACAGATTCGGAGCTGGTGATCATGACTGAAATGGCGGCCAAGGTGAAGCCAACGGCGAGGACTCTGAGCAAGATTTGGCCCATGAAGGAACTTCTCCGTGTACCCGGGGTTGAGATTGGGAGGCCGCTTAGAGATTTGACTTGAAGCATAAAAAAGCCTTTACCATTAGCTTCATCAGACGCCATTACGGACGTAATATGCAGTACAGTGCATATACTCTGTAGCAGACAGAGGCGGAAAGTGAGGAGCAGCAGTAAATTTGGGGAAAAGTGGAAGAAGAATTAATAGGGACTTTAGAAGGAAAGAAGACGACGAAGATGAGAAGTAGCAGTTAGCAAGAGGAGAATATGATGTTGGATTTCTAGTGACGACAATTTACATATGCGCCAAATCTAGTAGTCACAATAGGAAAACCAGTGATGGCTGCTTGTTTCCTATTTTATTTTTTAATTATATTATTAATTTTTAAAAATATATTTTAATGATAATTATTTACCAATAACAATAACAGTACAAATGCTAATAATTATATTTTACAATATGTTTAAGATAATTAATTAAATTTTAAATTGAAGTGAATTTCAGAATTAAATTACTTATTACATACAAATGTCATGAAATTCTTTTTCTAAGGTAAGGATCTGTCTTTTCCATATAATTAAATTATTTATAAAAATTTAAATTTAAATTCTAAATAAACACAAGTCAAATTTGTGATGCTTAATTTCTTAGGGGAAATCAATTCAGAATTCTTTTAAGGCAGTGGAAATGGAAGTAGTGTGAGACTAAACCTAGGAAAGTAAAATGTCATTTTTCCACATTAACATATATATATATATATTAATATAATGCAAGATTTATTTTTTAAAAAACATAATGTAATAATAATCCACGTTAAATTCCAACATATCAAACCCCAGATTATTTTACAACATCATTAGTTAAATTTCAATGAATTTTAAATTATGATTAATTATCTTAATTAAAAATATGACATAAAATAATTTATTTGGTAACCGTCACCAACCACCAAGATCCTAAATATATATATACATATAAAAGATTTAATATTTTATAGGCATTAATTAATTTAGTTGTTATGTTGTGAATTATTAGTATTTTGGTGTCACTTTCAGTTATAAATTTATGAATTAATGTTAGATTCCACGTCTCATTATTTGATTACAAAGTCTTGATTTGACTTCTCATTTTAACTCACTCTCGTAATTTCCATTTTTGTTTAAGCATTTTCTCTTTTTTCCGTATTTTTTTTAATAAATAAAAAAATCAATTGAAACTTTTAAAATAATTAATAAATCTTTAATTATCTAGTTAGTACATTTCTATTTCTACACAAATTTATATTTCTTGTTAAAATATTATATTATGTTATAATAAATATATATATATCTATGGTGTCCGATTAATAAATATATGTATTATTACTTTTAATTTTTTAAAAGATTATACATATCACATTCATGTATTTGCTTCCCTCCCCTACTATACTATGAACAGCACCACATCATTACATTGCCAAAATTTATGATATGTCAAATGTCCATATTTGTTCTACATGAAAAAGACACGACAACCTACAATTCCTCCCTTCTTTCTTTCTCATCCATGGCAGCCTTGCTTTTTTTTTTTTATTTAAAAAATAAAGACTCTTAATTTATAACCTTAAAAAAAATAATAGAAAACTTATTAAGCATTTAAATCTTCATAATTTCCTTTGACTTTTCTTTTCAAATATCTTATTGGATTTGCATAATTTTCCTCAATAATTCATTCTTAAACAACATTTTTTATTGGGTTAATTGTAAGATACGATTCCTCTCGTTTATATTGATTAATTATATCATATATGATAAGTTTTTTTATTATATTAAAAATACTTCATTTTTTAATTTTAATTTTATTATATTAACAAAGTTAATTAATTTTACGAATTTATCTAATTTATTTGAACTCGTTTGATATGATATGTATATATTTTTAGTTAAAATGTGAGTTTGAACTGATTAGAATTGATGGAAAAAGATGAGTAGGTTAGTACGAGTTATAATTTATACTTTATAATAAAAAACAAGTCGAGTTCTCATTCCTAAAATTTACAAGGCATTGGTAATAATCTTCTCGATTTCATTTTCGCACAAATTTTGGACCTTTAAAATGGGCTGGCTCAATGATTGGATTTTGGGTTTAATAGAACTAAATTAAATTGTGGACCTACTTTTAGACTTTAATTATATGTTTTTAATTTTTAATTTTTTATTATATTTAAAAAATATTTAAAAATCAAAATATTTTTTATATGACATAATAATTTGCTCAATAAATAATAATTAACTTTTCATTCATTATATAATAATAGTAGAATTTAACAAACATGATACTTATATTTTGAAATTAAATAAATTGAGAAAATAAAATGTTAGGACAAAGCCTAATTTAAATATTTTTAAATATTATAAATATTAATTTAATATTTATTTTGTTTTTTATATCTTAGTCTGGAGAGACATTCTACCAAGCTAAAATGCTTTTTAGAATATGTACAGTGTGTATGGTGCATGTCGTTAAGACACGAGATCTTCGTTTTTTATGGTTTCTCTGTGTGTGTGTGTGTATATATATATATATATATATATGTATGTATGTATGTATACGTATATATTACCAAGTTCCACCACGTATCTTCAAGCTCCCCTAATGACAACCTCAAACACATACTCTGCATGTCATATAAAATTTGCCCAAACGAACACCGCAGACAGAGACCTTTCCTCTCGTCTCTTCTTGCTAAACAGTCACGCCTTTTCATCTCCCATGGCAGCCAATGCATCTTGCCGTCTACGCGCCGGTTTATTGCCGATTATCCGCCGGAAAACCACGTCGAACACTCGAGATTCGAGACCGAAGCGAGTTTGCCTTTCCTCCTGGCGGTTGCTATCTGTCTCGGCGGATGGTAGCACAGGCTCGAAGCTCCATTTATCTCGCTCCGATGCGAATGATCCGGAGGAAGCGTGTAGGAAGAGCTTGCAGGATTTCTTTGAGGAAGCTAATGATCTGATTAGATCGGACGGTGGTGGTGGTCCGCCTCGCTGGTTCTCTCCCTTGGAATGTGGGGCCCGCTCTGATGACTCTCCTCTGCTCCTCTTCTTGCCAGGTTAGGTTTCCTTATAGTTGCTCTGTTTCCCTCTCATTTTGGCGATTCCCGTTCGGTTCTTTTAAATTTTGGCGGGAAACTATTGGCCATAAATTTCCAACGAGTAATTAATCAGTTTTAAGCAACAATTAGTAAGTTTTTATGTAACGGCCCCGGAAAATATTAAAAAGAAATGAGTATTTAAATATATCGAATGCGGAAGCGAGATCAAAATTTTAGTTAACATCCCTTACACGAAAAACCAAAAACGTACTTAAAATATAAAAGATTAAACTAACTAAGAGAGGAACTCGAAAATAAGACTATGAGTATGACTACAGAGTCTCTAGGTATCCCCTTCGTCGTCCTCCTGCGGAACGGGCTCGGGAACCATGTCTTCCTGATCTGAAATGGTTAAATAAGGAGTGAGCTACACTAGCCCAGCAAGAACATCACGATATCTCACCGTCACGGAGGTAAAGGTGGGTAGAAAAACACAAAAAGACCAATGGAGCACAATTTACCATAAACTCGTTTGTTAACATGAAAACCTTTACCATCCACTTACCTTGGTGGAATTTATGAAAACAATATGAGAAAAACAATAACATCATCATAATCATTGAATAATCTAAGC